TACGTTTTTCCCAGTAGCACATGAGTATCAGAGAAAACGACAACAATGAAGCGTAAACTTTTAGAACGGCGTCGAAAAGTAGAAATTCATTAAAAAGTAATAACGGAGTATCAGAGCTGGAAAGTAAAGTAATAAAAATGATAACTCAAATGGAGTATATACATAATTCCTTAAAACGCTCCATCAATCATTCGTTTTGATCAGATAGAAGTGAACAATACTTCGAAAAAGTCCATTTTCACGTCGTGAAAACGAAGAAGAAGTAAAGTAATAAAAATGATAACTCAAATGGAGTATATACATAATTCATTAAAAGATCTTCTTGATAAATTGGAATATCTTAACAAATTCATAAACCAACACTTAAAAAACCTTCCACCAATCATTCGTTCTGATCAGACAATACTTCGAAAAAGTCAATTTTCACGTCGTGAAAACGAAGAAGACATGACAAAACACCCCTCTCTCATACTCCTACACACCCTATTCGGGTAAAGATCACTCTAAACAACCACACATTTTTACGCATGACAAAACACCCCTCACACACACACACCATTGGGGTAAAAAAAGACAAGACAAGACAAGATATGTCAAAACACCCCACCCCCAATTTCACCATTTCTTTGGCTACCCCCACTCCGACGGCGTGGAGTCAACAATGCCTCAGACCAAATCTGAAGAACATTTCCGAGCTGATCCAAATACCTGGAAGAAGCTAAAAAAAACTACTACACGTACCAACTAAAAAGCAGCAAGGGCCTGCAAGTGGTACTTAAAGGAATCGAGCCCGACGTAACAGCCAAGGAAGTCATCGATGCTCTCAAGGAAAAAGGAGTTTCTGCAAAGAACGTCAGTAAAATTATAAACAGGAAAAAAGAGCCTCAACCACTCTTCAGGGTCGAGCTGGAGACAGACAGCTGAGCTTTGAGGAAAAATGAAGTGCACCCCATTTATAACCTGCAATACTTATTGCACCGAAGAATCACCGTGAAAGAGCCACTTAAAAGGAACGGCCCAGTGCTCTGCACAAATTGTCAGGAGTATGGACTCACCAGGGCATACTGTTCACTTCGAACAGTTTGTTTAGCTTATGGAGACTTTTACAATTCGGCAAACTGCCCTGCCAACAAAGAAGACCTCAAAAAGAAAAAATGCGTTAACTGCCAAGGTAACCACACGGCAAACTAAAGGGGCTATCCGGTCTACAAGGAGACGAAGGACCGCATGCGAAAAGTGACATCAACGCGTCATCAGAATACCCAAAATGCGTACACTTACTCGCTTACAACGCCGGAAGTATTTTTTCGGCACGGCTGCAAGATCCTCATTTGGTCAACTAAACACCCAGAAGGGCTTCTCATACTCCGATGCCCTTCGATCAGGGACGGAAACCCCACTCCAGTCTAATCTAGGAAACGCTCAGCAGATCCAAGCACAGTCACAAAGCACTCTGGAATCTATGATGGTCACCATGCAGCAAAGTATGACCATTCAGATGGTAAGGCCTACGGTGGAACCGGCACCCTAATCAGGGAACGCATCAAGCACCACTTTCATCAAAGATTTGCAACTAGTTACTTACAAGCCACGTCTATCAAAGTGCAGTCAGGCATCGGAAACCTCACCATAGCCGCCATCTACTGTCAGCCTCGCTTTACAATTTCTGAAGGACAATTCATGGACTTCTACAACTTGCTTGGAGATCGCTTTATAGCTGCAGGGGACTATAATGCCAAACACACGCACTGGAGATCACGCCTTGTGACTCCCAAAGGAAGGCATTTATACAATGCAATCATAAAACCGAACAACAAGTTAGACTATGTTTCCCCTGGCAGCCCCACATACTGGCCAACAGACCCCAGGAAAGTTTCAGACCTAATAGACTTTGCGGTGACAAAAAACATTTCCCGCAATATAAAAAGCGCCAAAGCGCTTTCGGACCTGTCGTAAGACCATTCGCCAGTGCTAATAACTCTTCTTCAAAGCACAAAAACTACTGATCACCCCCACTGATCACGTGATCAACGATGTAACGTATCTCAGCATCCACCTTGACAGACGACTAAGACACATCGAACGCAAGAAAGTACATCTAAAACTAAAAGCCAGCACCTTCCTCTGGATTCTTAACGCTCGTTCGCCCCTGCGTCTGGACTACAAGGTTTTGCCCTACAACTCCACTCTCAAGCCCATCTGGAAATATGGCTCCCAGCTGTGGGGGAACGCCAGCAGCAGCAACATAGACATTATACAGCGCGTTCAATCGAAAGTCCTGTGAACTTTCACTAGGGCACCATGGTATATTCGCAACCAAAACATCTACAGGAACCTAGGCATTCTTACCGTAAAAGATGAAATAGACAACCAAAAAGCTTCCTACAATGAAAAACTCTCTGTGCACCTAAATCGCCTCGCAAGAGGCTTGACTTGGGTTTCCAGCCGATCCCGTCTACAACGCAACGACCGGCCAAGCCAGCAATATCTTTCGGGCCCCTTTAGCACAATATCAGTCATATGACTGTTAGTGAGATTATTTCATTTAAGATTTGATACACTTATTGTTAATATCCAAAGGGAAAAAATTCAATAAATAAATTGAAAAGCATTAAAAAAAAAATGTTGAAGTTCTGGGATTGTTTTGGGAACCTTCCAATGCCATATTTTCTTCAAGCTTGAAACTCCTCGAACTACCACTGCTTTTACCAAACGCATTTCAAATTCCTCGCTACATATCCGCACCGCTTCCAACGAGAGATATGCATGGATTTACTGATGCCTCATCTCAGGCATATGCTGGTGTCATCTCTAGTCTCGCCGAAATTAATAATGGATATGCCGTCATACTGATAATGGGAAAAACTCGCGTCGCACCTATTAAGACTATCTCCTTTCTGTGTCTCCAGCTAAACGCAGCCCATCCACTCTCTAATTGCATTTCCTTGGTGAAGCAATTATTAACTGTACCAACATTGTATTGTTGGTCAGACTATAAAATAATCCTCCATGGGGTATTGTGGACAGAAGAAGAGGCATCTCTGGAAGTAATGACCGATCCACAAGTTAATCTACACCTTTCCGACGAAGGAAATCTGCCATCCTGTTTGATAAGCAAAACATCATCGTAGTCTCATTTATTGCAGGTAATCAGATACTCCATTTGCATTTCATGCAAGACATCGACTTTCACCGTTCCTGTCACTCCAATGTGCACAATCTAGGATTTTCGCGCACGTTCAAAAGTAGTTTTTCAACAGAAGCAGTAAAACACCGGACAGCCATTGTCAGACAAATTTGAACTCACCTGCTGGACGCCCATTTAAGATGACCAGAGAGCGATTCGTGTAGACGCAAAACATCCCATAGTGCTACCCAAGCAAGCTCCAATAGATGTTCTACTACCTCGATATCAACATGTTTCATCGCAATACTCTGGAGTCGAATTCACATTTCATAGTCTTCGACAAAGGTATTGGATCTTTGGAACCAGAAAAATCGTCCCCAAAACTGTATTTAATTGTAGAATTTGTTTATTGCAGGAAAGACATACGAGTTCTTAACTCATGGATGATTTAACCGAATTTAAAGTTAAACCCACTCGCTTCCAGAGCCTTCTTTCCGGGATGTAAGCATTAACAGAATGTAGCGCTGGAGACAATCGCAAGCCAAAGTACAAAGGTTTCTGGAATCGCTGGAATCTAGAGTATCTCAATTCCAGACAATCAACAAGACGCTGAGAATTTGGCTAAAGAAACATGCATAAGTATAAGAGCATCCCGCGTCTTATCAATTATTTTTTGCACGTTTTTATGTTTCGGCAGTACAAGGCATCTTGATAAGTAACTTTAAAATCAAACACGGAAACGTTGTTTTGGCTAAAGTCCGTTTTGTTTTTCAGGTTGATATAGCGATTCCAACGATCTTTTTACTTGTGCATGCCTCTTTCGGAAGCTCTAGGTCTAACTCTAAGCTCTAGTCTAAGCTCTAGTTTTAGATGAGAGCTCCACTTTCAAGTAAAATCGCTTACCGGTGAGCCATCTCTCCAGGTTTGGAAACAAATAGAAGTCGCTGGGAGCCAAATCTGGCGAATACGGAGGCTGAGGAACCATATCGAACTTAATTTTATGTAATTTAGCTTGAGTAATCATCGATGAATGCGGCCTCTTTATGGCGATTTCAAATTTCAAACGGTCCAATAATTCGCAGTTATATGCGCCTGTTATTGTTTTTCCTTTTTCAAGATAGTCGATGAGATCCATGCGCCTCCCGAAATACAGAGGCCATTAACTTTTCAGCGGACTGTTGCGTTCGGACGCTTTGATGCACTTTCACCCGGTGAGTGCCACTTTTTTGCCTGTTGAAATGACTCTGTAGCATAGCAATAGATCCTGTTATCATCCATGGTTATGAATCGGCGCAAAAAACTCCTTTGGAATTCGCTGAAATGTGATCAATTTCTGAATGCGATTTTGGTCCACTGCAAGCAAACGCAACACCCATCCCGCGCGGAGCTTGTTCATACCCAAAATCGAGCGTATGATGTTAAACACACGTTCAGTCGACATCTTTGTGGCCAAAGCTATCTCAGCAATTTTCGCTTTGGGGTCATGTAACATCATATCATGGATTTTTTCGATGTTTTCTGGTGATCTCACGTCTTTTGGGCGTTCAGATCGTTCTGCGTCATTTGTGCTTGTACGACCACAATGAAAGTCAGCAAACCGTCTTTAACGACGGTGCAGTTTCTGGAAAATACTTATGTAGCTTTGCATGGGTCCCGGCTGCTGTTTTCTTGCGTAGAAGATAGTATTTAATCAAAACTCGGAGCTCCGATTTTTCCATATTAAAAAATACACGGAACTTGGTCGCTTCTTAGTGCTGTATCTTTTAAATGAGTTATCGGGAATGGCTAAAATTTTTAGAGGCGTTACTTCAAGGATGCAGCTTGACGAAAATAGTAAACAATAGTGTACAATAACGCCATGACTTATCAAATGACCATGTTGTTATAGTTGATCTTCTCCTGCAACCGCTTGCTGACTACAAGCCGTTAAAAATTATTGAAAAACCGCAATCTAGTGAATAAAAGCCAAAAACATAAAAAATCATTAATACAGTTCACTTTATTCATAATCAATGATCAATTCTCGAGATAAAACCCGTTCCGTAACTTTTTTTTTATACCCGTTACTCGTAGAGCAAAAGGGTATACTAGAATCGTCGGAAAGTATGTAACAGGCAGAAGGAAGCGTTTCCGACCCCATAAAGTATATATATTATTGATCAGCATCAATACCCGAGTCGATCTAGCCATGTCCGTCTGTCCGTCTGTCTGTCCGGATGAACGCTGAGATCTCGGAAACTATGGGAGCTAGGCTATTGATATTTGGCGTGCAGATTCCTGAGCTTCTTACGCAGCGCAAGTTTGTTTCAGTAGAGTGCCACGCCCACTCTAACGCCCACAAACCGCCCAAAACTGTGGCTCCTACAGTTTTGATGCTAGAATAAAAATTTTAACTGAAATGTAATGTTCTCATCAATACCTATCGATTGACCCAAAAAAAATTTGCCACGCCCACCCTAACGCCCATAAACCGCCCACAAACTTCAAAAAATCGTAAATATGAACGTGGATGTCTCGGAAACTATCAAAGATAGAGAATTGGGATTTCAGATTTAGATTCCGTAGCCTTATACGCAGCGCAAGTTTCTTACGCGTATATGCCACGCCCACTCTAACGCCCACAAACCGCGAAAACCTGTGAGGCCCACAATTTTTATGCTAGATTAAAAATAAAAAACGATTGGTCCAAAAAAAATTTGCCACTCCCACTCTAACGCCCATAACGCTTAAATCTGTATACCGCCGGTAGGTGGCGCATTTTAATCTCGCTTTGCTACTTGCATATCTCTATTTAGCTGAGTAACGGGTATCTGATAGTCGAGGTACTCGACTATAGCGTTCTTCCTTGTTTTATTTATTATTATTAAAGTTCCAAATACTCGTAATTATTATAAATAATTTTTATTTTGAAAGTCCTTTCATAACAGATATAAATGACTTTTAAAAAAAAGTCAATTAGAGACTTTTATTTATTCAAACTTAAAGATAAAATCCATTAAGGACTTTTATGAATTTTGTTAGGATCTGAACATGTTGAAGGAGAGTATAGTCCCACAGCTGCAGGGGCCCTTCATGGACGAAGTTATTAAGACAGAGGGAGCACCTCCACTATTTTGAGACTCGTGGTGGTATCAGGGCAAGGTCAAAATAGTTACCTGCCAAGATGCCGACGCCGCGGTCTTCTACAAGTGGCTGAAGCAATTCTTTGGGGATATCTACCCGGGAGCCAAGCTCGAGGTGGTACACTGGAACAAGATACCAAGCAAGCCCAGGGCCTCAGAAAAAGGTCTGCAACCCAAATATGCCAACCTCCGATTTGCATATTCTGAAAATGAAAGGTTGGCTATCCTCTCCATATTCAGCAACCCAGCAACCTGCTGAAGGCAGCTAAGAACATAGTGGTGCCCGTGTAGAAAGCAGATGCCAGAAGTCGACTTGTAAGGACAGGGGTAGCCATGGAATCAAACGAGCAGACAAAGGACCGGTCCGGAACCGACGCCAACCCCCTTGGCGGCTATGTCTCAAAGGAATGCAACCTCGCAAGAGGTATGCGAGATGTTGGGATCGACGATGAATCCCTACGCTAATCGGACATAGACATTGGATTTTATCCTTCTATAAAATCTTTATAACTTTACATACATCGAGCGCTCTAAATACTCATGGAGTCTCTGTTAGTCCTTTTTGACGTCCACTTCATAGGTTGTCACCGTGGCAAAGCGGATACAGAGACGCCAAGGGCGTCGTGGAGCTCAAGTCTTGACTATCAACTTAGCCGCTCAGCGCGTCATTGCAGAAAACTGGCTCTGCTAGATTTTCAAAATTGTCTTCGATACCTATATTATTCTCACCCTAAAGGAGAAAAACCCTGTCATTGCACCCATAAAGTCTTCAAGCTGATCAGTCTTTCTTTGTTTATGCTGAGAACGTCGGATAGACTAAAACATCACCATCCGATTTCTCCGACGCGCAACACGTCTACGTCAAGGGTATGTCTACGGAAACAGCCCTAGACAGGTTACGATTATAGAAAAAACGCACCACGAAAAGGAGTTTACACTCATAGAATTCTTAGATAAAGAGTGCGCTTTCAACCACATTCTTCCAAAAGCAATCACTGTTTAATAACTGACTAACTGACTTGGATATTGACCAACACCTAGTGCACCTCATTAACCGGCTATCTTGATGCAGGACCTGAGGGGTGAACTGTCGTAAGGAAAGTTAGTAGAGGCACCCCACAAGACAGTGTACTCTCGCTACTCCTGTGGAACGTAGCAGTCAATAGACTGCTGCACATCATGCACAGAAAATCTTGCAATTACCTCCTCAGACAAGTTCCCACAGACACTATGTGAACCAATAATCGACAGCCTTAGATACATATTAGACTGAACAATCAAAAATGTGCTGGGAATAAGCCCCTTTAAAACTGAATTAATCCTCTAAGCTAAGCCTCCAATCTATTTGCGGCAAACTATTAGACTTAGCGACAAGGCTAAATTCCATGGCCTTATTCTGGATAGAAAGCTAGATTGGAAGTCGAAGAACATGTGTATTTACTAATTGACAGCTTGGAGGGAGTTAAAGCGTCCCCAAAAAGTTACCGAGAACCAACGACTCTCTACGGGAGGCTGACAGGCAAGAACCGGAAGCCAAAAGACTGTTAAAAGTTTGGAATTTAATTTTGCTGCTAGATTTAGCAATGAGACTTCAAGAGTGCACGGTAACTTATATCATATGAACCCTTAATAAATTACGAAAATTAACTAAGCATCTTTCTCTCCTAGAAAAATACATAAGGCCGACCAAATATTAACATTTGTGAAAATCGAATTTAACTGAAACACTCGAAAGGGAGAGCCGGAAAGGGCCAGATAATACAAATTCGTATGATATTATTTTATTTCTATATTAGTTTATTTTGTTCAAAGTTATTTGGGGGTATTGGGCTCTGTGTGCCTATGAATATATAAACGGACCCCATCACATGGTTACGTTTTCTAGATACGATTGTGGATTGAAGATGATGTGATACCACAATAGATACCATGTCATTACTGAAAGTAGGGTGTGTCCCCTATAGACACTTTTCACGGGGCCCATCTGTGTGTGAAACAGTTATGATTTCTGACAAATGTGAAACTCATATTCCCACGGAATAAATCCATTGTCCACCATTGTATTTCAGCTGACGTGAACTTCAGTTGCGTAATCACAAATAAATTAGAGGAATTTTAAATAACTGAAACTGTCAAAAAAAACCAATTTTCCTGCCTTTTATTTCTAATACAGAAGTATGAAAGAAGAAGTAACAAGTACACTGTGAGATATTTTTAACCGCAATTTGGACTTCATGTACGGAAAGTACTGTCTAAGCCCCATTTGGGTTTCTATGGCATAGCATTTTTATACCCGTTACTCGTAGAGTAAAAGGGTATATTAGATTCGTCGGAAAGTATGTAACAGGCAGAAGGAAGCGTTTTCTATTACTAAGAAGATAGTATACGTTTAAGCTACTTGACGCGCTTGGGGTCTCTCTGTCCTCTTTACCACGGTGACAATCTGGGAAATGGACATGAAAAAAGAGATGGTATTGATTATTGCATTGATCTTTTTCACTAAAGAGGAGAGAGTAAAGGAGTGATAACCCAAGTCAAGCATTGATCCGGTTTTTTTATATTTTTAAAAAACATGTATTTCATTTTATACCCGTTAGTAGATTTGTCGGAAAGTATGTAACAGGTAGAAGGAAGCGTTTCCGACCCCATAAACTGAACACTGTGATCTCGGAAACTATAAAAGCTGCAATACTGGGAATAGGCATGGTGATTCTAGAGATTCATGCGCAGCGCAAGTTTGTTTCGTCAGTGTGCCACACCCACTCTAACGCCCACAAGCCGCCCTAATGGTTTTTCTTGCGCTGCTAATGTTGCTAGGAGATTTCAGATTGAAATTTATTGGGTACGTGAAAGATAACTATTTCACGATAAGTACATTTTTTTAACGAATTTGTTCTTTATTTTTATACCCGTTACTCGTAGAGTAAAAGGGTATACTAGACTCGTCGGAAAGTATGTAACAGGCAGAAGGAAGCGTTTCCGACCCCATATATACTTTATGGGGTTATTCTTGATCAGGATCACTAGCCGAGTCGATCTAGCCATGTCCGTCTGTCCGTCTGTCTGTCCGGATGAACGCTGAGATCTCGGAAACTATGGGAGCTTCTTACGCAGCGCAAGTTTGTTTCAGTAGAGTGCCACGCCCACTCTAACGCCCACAAACCGCACAAAACTGTGGCTCCTACAGTTTTGATGCTAGAATAAAAATTTTAACTGAAATGTAATGTTCTCATCAATACCTATCGATTGACCCCAAAAAAAGTTTGCCACGCCCACTTGAAAGCCCAAAAACCGCTCACAAATTTCAAAAAATCGTAAATATGAACGTGGATATCTCGGAAACTATCAAAGCTAGAGAATTGGGATCTCAGATTTAGATTCCGTAGCCTTGTGCGCAGCGCAAGTTTGTTACGCGAATATGCCACGCCCAATCTAACGCCCACAAACCGCCCAAGCCTGTGGCGCCCACAATTTGCATGCCAGATACAAAATTTTAACTGAAATGTATTGGTCTCGTCAATACCTATCGATTGATTAAAAAAAAATTTGCCACGCCCACTCTAACGCCCATAATGCATCTCTCTTTGGTCCCTTTAGCTGAGTAACGGGTATTTGATAATCGAGGTACTCGACTATAGCGTTCTTCCTTGTTTATCTTAATGTTTCTGCACACCTATATCAATCTTGGACATAAACAGATAATTCCTATTGGTCCTCGTTATATATATTTACAATCGTTACATTGCTAAAATATCTCAACGCAAGCTAATCTAGAGAAACGCCAATTGAAGTCTGACTCGGTTCGATAAGTACATTCAGAATATGAAAT